TGGGTGTCCCGGGGGAGGGGGGTGTGTGTCCTGCCCGCGGGGTGCACCCCTGCACTTGCATCTGGGTCCCTTGAAAAGTGTAAAAAAGGATAAAATACCAAATACCAGCACTGTCGGCATCGTTCTCCACTGAAAAGCCACGGACACCCCACCCACGGGATGTCCTCCCATCGGGGACAAGCCCCCACGCTTGCAGCCCCCCCCTTCCTCCATCACCTCCTGCCCCCAACCTGGCTACCTCTTGGGCTGCGACCCCATGGAAAAGCTTTTTGGCTCAAAGGGATGGGAGCCCTCCGTGCTCCGGTTTCCCCATCCCTGCCCAACCGAACCGCTGCAGGAGGTGGAAGTCCCAGCTCCCATTTTTGGCTCTCCTCCATTGCATCGGACTCAAAACAAGTCTCCTCTGGAGCTTTTTAAAATCCAGCCAGTAGCTTCTACCCAGTCTGGCCAAACCACCCTAAATCTAGGGACTGCTTTATATTTTAGTACTATTATTTTAGTAATGAGCAATCAAGTCCATGAAGCATCCCGGGGCTGTCATGCCCAGATAACAGACTCCCAACAAATCCTTGCCTGGCTCTCATCGACTGCCATGAAACCTGCTGCTAGGAACTACTTTGGGCTGGATTTTCATTTACTTGCTCAGCCCTCTATTCGTCGCCGAAGCTTGAAAATTACTCTCGGGTGCATTTAACTGTTTTGCTCCTCTTTTAAACCTCTTAAAATAATGTGAAACAGCTGTTGGGTAAATGAGAGCGAGGTCCCCTCTCTCCCTTTTTTTTAATCATCAGCAATGCCTTACGGCAGCACCAAGCGTTCCCCACGGCAATCTGGGAGCAACTGGAAGGCACAGTTGGTTTTTTTTTTCCCCTATATATATATATTTATTCTGCTAAGACTGCTCTGCTGTTCCAGCTGGACCATAAAAATCCCTTTCAGGCTTAGGCTTGATTTACAAGGTCGCAACCTAGGAGCGATTTATTTATTTATTTACACGCTATTTATTTAACCCCGACTAAAGGGCACACACCAGCCCGGACCTGCTGCTTGGCAAACCGTTCCCTCGCGTTCCCATGGACTTTGCTTTGCTGCTCGTCATCTGCTGGACCAAAGTGTGACCCTCTCTGGTGGGAAGGGCGGGAGGCACGGCATCTTATGCTGAATGAAAAGCAGAAGGATTGTGGCTGAGAATATTTGTCCAGGAGTGGTATCTGCAATTGTGATTTAAAAAAATAATAATCTGAAACCAGGTTAGCACAGTGGAGCTTTGGGATAGAAACTTCTTTTTTTTTAATTTTCTACATCTAGCTGGAACAGTCAGTATGAGCCCTGCGGTGCGTCACCACACCAAAGCCTTCACAGCTGAGATGCTCGGATGGAGTTTATGGATGTGCAGAGTCCATTTTAGTGCAAAATCAGCCAGATTAAAAACTAATAAAATCTTAAATACTTTCCCCAAGGTGCCACTGACAGTGGGAAGCAGTGTTGGGGGTGCCGTGTAGCTGTTCTGCTTGCTATTTCTGGAGCATCATCCATCTGTCATCTGTTCGGATCCATTATTGCTATAGTATCCTTACACAGCTAACAAATATTGTAACCTAATCAAGCGCAGCTTTTTGCCTATCAAGCTGTCCTATCAGATCTCCAGCTGCAGATCCTCACCCCACTGTACGCTTAGAGGTTGAAGAAGTCAGGGAAATCACTAGCAAGTATCCAATCAACCAGGAGACGCATAATCGTGTGTTGCTTCCCAGTATCTTTGTTGGTTCAACACGCGTCAATCTGGAATGCTGGATCAGAGCTGGAGCCAGAATATCTTTGGGAAACAATGCATCTCCAAAGGAAAAAATAAGCAAATTTACGATTTCTGTACAGAACATCCCTCTGGCCCTTGCAGCACAGAGCAGCCAAATAATCACTGTAGGCTTAACCCCTTTCAGAGCACTACCTTTTGCAAATCTCCTTTAACTCAAAATTTCCTTGGTTTTTTGCATTTCAGACAGCTCCTTAACATGATTTTAATATAGCTCTTTGTTTGTATATTATTTAAGGATGTCAGGTCAAGAGAAGAGCTTCCAGAACTGAAATGGTTTGTTTCTACTTGTTCTCCAGATCACAGTTTTTAATGAGCAACTAATTTATTTTTTCCTTTGGAAGTAATTAAAAAAAAAAAAAAGAAGCCCAAACTCTCAGTAGTTATTAGGACAGATCAGTGTTATATTGCATAGAGGATAATGAACAGATCCGACGAAAATCGAAATGTATTGCATTTGAGGAACCCTGTTGCCATGAGCTGTGAAGCTTCAATGTTTCAGGAACTAAAGTGGGTTATCTAGGTGTATTTTTAAACCCAGTCCTTTGAGATGCTTCGCACAGCTTCCTGCTTGTCCTTTTGCCTCTCTCCGTGCAGAACAGACTGCAAAATGAGGGTCCTATTGCATGGGTGTGCATCTGCAGACACCGCGCTGCCCTGGGGAGCGCCAGCCGCTCCAGCCGCGGGGCAGGAGGCTGGGCATGGGGCTGGGCACCGGGGCTAACCCCTTCCTTCGGCATTGCAGCGGCTGGGGCAGCGCTGGGGGCAGTGGATTTGCTGTTGCCAGCTCTGTGTCCTGGGGACAGGCAGGTGACCTGCTCCTGGAGCCCATCCCTGGATCCCTGGGGATGCTCTGAGCACCGCGTGCCACATTTTGGCACTCTGGCATGGCCTCTGAGGTCGGTTGGAGAGGGAGGATGTTGGCAGAGGGGTGATGAACGTCTAAGGAAGGATGGTGGGGTTAGCATACAAGGAGAGTGAAGGGATGATTTTAGCTTGTTGAAAACATAATCTCTTAATGTAGTTGGAGGAAGAAAAAATTGTCAGAGAGGGAGAGGAATAATTTAGATGAATACAAGGGGATTTAATGAGTGGCAATGTGATGAAAGGGAAAATTTGATATGAATATCTGAAAGAGCTTTTAAGACATCTAGCCCATTAAGTTGCCAGGACTAGCAGTGGATGTCTCATCGCTCGGGCCTTTATAGTTAGGTTTGACAAAACTCTATTTCTCAACTTTGAATCAGATTGCATCATGCCTATGATCTGGACTTTTCCAGCTCTTACTTCTAGATTAGCATGGCTTCTTACCATATCTCAGCAACCAGGGTCTTGACAAGTAACCTTCAGTTTTCCCCATGCAAATGAAAATAAACTCTGTCATCTTTGTTACTGGGTAACCAGCTGGATTTAAGAAAGCTTTGCGGGAGAAATGAAGGAGCAGGTTCACTGTGGCTGTGGGGCTGGCGTGGACAGAGCAGGAATCTCCTGTGGGCCGTTGCCTGCCAGGAGCAAGGGGGTGACCGTGCTGCCACTTATGACCCAGAAGGATCTTGTCTTCCTTGTCCAGCCTTGGTCCAGTCATGCCCTCATTACCATCAGATGCAGGCACCACCATTATTAACATACTATCCTCTTAAAATATTCACTTTTTATTGTCTTAAGGCATCAGCCAAAGCCCACTGAAATGCCTGGAAGGCCTTCCATTGACTTCAGCAGGCTTCATGCTATTGTCATTCCTTCTCTGAAGAAAAAGATCAATGTAAGAGCAAATTAAAAATGCATTTGCTGTCCCTTTTTTTTCCTGCTGTCCTCCCAAATCCCTTTATAAACTTAGCATACATCTGAGAAAACATTTTGTGTTGGTTACCTGGAGAGTTTGGCTGAAACCTGAACTGAAGGATAGCAGATGAGGACAAATCTGCAAGTCTTCATATGCAAAGTGGTCTGGCTTCACCCTCTCTGTGTTGTCCCAGGAAGAAACTGTCACTTGGCTCTACTCGCATTGGACATTTGTTATTAGAGAAATAGAGACATGATGGAACATTGCCACAAGATCCATGTCTCTTGTTTTTAAAATAAACATCTTGGCTTTGACTTGACATTTATTTTCCATAAATGCCTCGGCTTCAATTTGGCATTTCAGCAACAGCGGGAGGCTGTTATCCTGTGACAACATGCAATTCCATTGACATTATCTCTTGATTGCATGTGACAGTGTGCCAAATACTGTGTGTAGTTGC